CCCCCCCCAAGTCACCAGCTACATTTTCCATTCTAGCTGACTTTTCTGAGCAGCTCTTCCAATGGGGGATGTAGCAGGTGCACATGTAAAAGCAGCTCAGTTACATGCTGTGCCAGACAGACCCATTTGGGTTACTTTGCAGGACAATTCCCATCCAAACTGCAAATACTGGGAATGCCAGTCAGGATCTCTTCAGATCTCAGCCTCTAGTTAAGTTATCAAAAGATGAGAGAGGATGCTTCTAAGTGTGCTGGAGGAAAGAGGCTTTCCTCAGGAAAATGCTTTGGGTGGTGGGGTAGGGATCCTGATCTCCTTTGCACTGCAGTGAATTGAAAGGAACTCTGGTAAATATAAATTGAATTACTCCAGTTTTAGCTTGGCACATCTGTGATGGGAGTGGGGGCTCCACCAAGCAATGAATGTTTAATGGGACTGTCTGCGTATGTTGCAAGTAACCCAAATAGACCCATCAAGGTTTCAGATTAATTCCTTTAAAACAGATTTTCCCATAGCATTTCCTACGTGATTTTAACCCTCACTTTGCACAGACTGGTGTTTCCTGTTTTGTCTTAGTTATTAATGCAGCAGATGAATGTGGCATTCTGAGGGATGTGGGCTGAAGCCATGGCTGGGAACGCATTGACTTCCACTGCTCAGATGATAGATGCCAGCCCAAGCCACCCTGCTGTGTGTCCATCCTTGTTTCTCCCTCCCTGACCAACACACCTTTGGTGGAACTCTTGACCTGAGCATTGGTTTCACCCATTTCATTCTCATGTATCCTACTCATAGAGGTGTTGGGGTACCACTAGAAAAAAATCACACTATAGCTGCAAAACTTTAAAACAAAATGCAGTAAATATTGGGGGTAAAAGTGTTGTTGTTTTTTTTTTAATTTCTCTTCCTTTCTGTTGCTGTTCTTGGTTGTGAAAAGCAGTTTTCCCCTGGAAAGATGTCCTGTGTGGTTCTCCTTGCTTAGTGTTTTCTTCCCTGCAGGGAGACCTGGTGCATTGAAGCCACAAGCAGGGCTGGGCTGCATTTGGGATGGATGCCCTTTGAGACATCCCCTCTTCCTCAAGACAAGGAAAACTATCAATATGCTGGCTCCTGCACCATGGAAATGCAGCTGCTAGCCCAAACCTTCCTGACCCATCTCATTTCAGCTGAATGCTGCTTTCCTGACCCTGAGGGACAGCTGAGGTGAAACGAGGGGCTGCCTTTATTTGAGTTACCCTAATGGAGCCTCTTGGAGGTCTCCACAAGAGTACATCTTTTTATTCAGATGAAATATTATGTTGATGGTTTTGTGCCTTTTTGTTTTTATAGGTTTTGTTTGCTTATTTCATGTATTTTTTGTATTTTGTAATCCTTTTTTTTTAAAAAAAACTCAGCTTTTCAGATGTGTTCACTCCCCCTACAAAGAAGATGAAGAGGCTTATTGCCAGCTCCCATGGGGCTGCCTTCAGTCCAGGGACAGCTTAGGAGAGCAGCAGCTACATCTCTGCTCCCTGTCCCACAAGCAGTGGCAGATGAGTGTTGGAAGGACTGCAGAGTTGTGAGATCCCCCTGCTTACCCCTAACCAGCTGTAATTTCATCCCTAAAGGGGGTTCAGCTCTCTCTCCATTATGGAGTTTTTGGAGTGGGCACTCAAGTGACCAAAGCCCTCACAGGGGTTTTCCTGGCTTAGAAGACTTAAGCTAAGTTTTTTTCACTAAAGCCACAGCCCCATCACAGGTAAACACTGTTTTTCCTGTCACCACTCTGAGTGGCATCATCAGGTTTTGTATTATTTCTCCTGCCTTTTGCTCAAGCCCTCAGTCCCCAGCAAGAGCTAACAGGATGGCATTACTACCTGTGGCTGCATTTTCTTGGCAGCAATTGGAGGTGCATTGGTCCCGGAGGATGGAGACCTCCCTCTCCAGCATCTCAATCCTGCTCAGCAGCTCCTGCAGGGATGGGAGGGAGGTGGAGCACTTGCAGGCCTGCTTGGGCATGTTTATCCTGTGGGTGAAGGTGACCTGGCTCTCGCTGTCGGAGGTCTGCTCCGTGTACTCTGTCAGCCGGTCGTCTTCTGAACTCACCTCCTCGGCCGAAGACTTGAACATGGATGAGCAGCAGCTGTCCAGTGGGATGTTGATGTTGTAGATGTGGTGGAAGACCATGGGCTGCTCTTTGATAGGTGGGCTGCAGTTGGTGAGGCCACCTGCCTCATCCACCGCTGTCCTCTCAGCTGGCTCTGTTGTCATCTCCAGCCGGCACTCAAAAGGCTTGAGGACAGCGCCCAGCAGAAGCAAGTTGAAGCTGATGACCACATTCCTCAGGACCAGGTTTTCACCATCAGTCCCCATTTTTCTGGGAGAGGGAAGAGCCTTCCAAGCCAGTCTGGGTCAGCCAAAAGTGGGGAGGACCTGGGAACACAGAAGCAAAAGAGCATGGTTGGTGTTAGGCTTGAAACTATGCTCAGCAAAGAGAGGCAGTTATCTAGACACATGTGGGGCTGACTTGACCCACATGCAGTCCTTCTGGCTTTGGTGGACCCTAAATCAACCCTGGATGGGTGGGAAGACCTTGTCATAGCCCTTGAGCAGTGACAATGACAGATTCTTGTTGTTACTGCTTTTTTATTTAAGAAACAACAAATCTGGTGCTATCAAAGCACCAAATACTCATCTCTATGCCACTTACCACATCTTACTTTGCCACCTTCTGCCAATGCCATAACCTTGAGCAAATGCTGTCTCTTGTTTCTAATGGCCCTCCTGCTCTGGAGCTCCTCTCCAGCTCCCTGGGGAACATCCCTGCCTCCCTCATTACCCTACTGCTGAATGAAAATATGTCTGGTGGTTTCTCTTCAACAGCACCTGAAACTCCTTTGGTAGGCTCTCCTTTTCCCCCCGATTTTAGGAAAAGCAAGAAAAATGGAAATAACCCTGCAATGGGGTGGTTCTGACCATGCTCACAGAAGACAGGCGCTCTGTAAGTGGCAATTTGGGGCTGCATTCTCAGACTCTGACTCCCTCAAGTCCTCCTCTGCCTTCTGGGCTCTCCGCTGGCTCCTGGGTGGCCCTGGCTGACCCATGGGGAGACTCCTTGTCCCTGCCTAATGGGGCAGCCGTGACAGGGGAAGGCACAGGGACTAATGAACACCGGCTGCCTTTGATTGACTCGTTGGTGTTCAAATCCCAGCACCCCCTCCTTGGCCTCTCGCTTGGCTTTTTGTGTGTGCTCGGAGTGGAAGTAATTGTGGCCATGAGCCAGCTGCTCCGAGCTGGGCTAGTGCTTCAAAGGAAGACTCCTTGAAGGATTATAGGAGCAGCTTAGATACAGGGAAATGAAATCCTTCCTCTCCCCGTCTTTGGATCCGGCCTGCCTTAAGAGACATGTCAGAGCCTGTTTGTGAGCAGAACTGGATGGGGGTAGAAGAGTTCCATGCAGGACTGAGGGAGTGGGAGATGGATGGGGAATAAAGGAGGGTGAGCAGATAGACACGGCGATTGCTCACTAATGACAGTGAGCAGGGTGGTTGGGTAGTTAACAACTCTGTGTCCCATAGACTGAAAGCCATTCATTTGCTGATAGGAACTGCCAGGCTTATTGATCTCAATCTCTTTATCAGTACATTCATTACAGCTGCCCAGCTCTCAGTTCTGAGTGGCAAGTCACAGCATTCCACTCCTGCCCCTTAGGTAGGGTATGATGCTGTGGGAATGTTGGCATCCATGGGGCACAGTGCTGCAGAGATTTCTCATAATATCACTGGTTGGGCTTTTAGCTGTGAAATGGTGAAAAGTCACCACGGTTCAGGCTGACCCCGGCTCAAACCAGGCTGAATCCACAAGGCAGGTGGATGCTCCTTGGTGTCCTCCAACCCAGAGCAGGCCAGACATCCTTATTAATCCTCAACTTCTTCCCAGAGGCTTGGGCTGACAACTCTGAAGCCCTGCCAAATTTGTGAATGCATTCCTGAGCTCTGTCATCGCCATTCCCTGTCTGCTCCTGCTCTGTCTCCTGCTCCTTGTGTCAACAGTTTGCTTTTCCCTGAAGGACCCATCATGGTGAGCTCAGCCAGGCTGGGCTGGGAGAGCTCTGGGGCTGCATGAGCAGTCTGACAGCTTGAGTCGTGTCTACCTGGGAAGAGGAGTTGCATGAACATTCCTCCTTTTCCTGTGCTCCTGATGCTTCCCAGTCCAGCTCACACTGCAGTGACAGAACTGTTAAAAACCATTGACTGGGGGAACAGATCCAGGGCTGTATATTCCTCCACCCTCCTTCACAAGGAAAAGAAGCCAATTTCTGTGCCATTTAATGTGTGAAATCGGTTGCATTAGAGAAAATTTACCTAAGTTGCTTTCAGGTTTTTGTTTTGTTCTGTTTTGTTTTTTAATTATGCCTATGTTGTCCTCGGGTTCAAATAAAACTCCCAGCTGGTGGCCTTCTTGATGGCTTTGATCCCTTCATCCCTAGAGGTGGCCTTGGAAGACCTCCCATCCAGGGCAGTGAAAGCAGCTTTGAGCCTGTTACTTTCCTGGTGTCTGGTGTCAGTGTACTTCCCTTTCTGCTGGACTGGGACAATGCCTCTCCATCCCAGAGTGGTCTCTGTGTAACCAGGATAGGACAACTGATCTCCAATTGCCTCTGGCACAGCACAAGCTTGGGGCTGCTTCTATATTTTACCACAACTAGTTACCTTTAGTTTGTTTTGGTTTTTTTTTTTTTTTTCCCTACAATCCCCCTGAAACATGGGTGTTTGAATTAAAGTTCAAATTAAAGAGTTATTACAGTTAATTATGAAGTTTGGCAGGCATTGAGCTTTTGGCTCCAAAGCATTTCAGCTTTGGGGAGCTGTGAAAGAATCAATCTGCTGCAATTTCTCTGTAGTGCTCAATAAAAAATTCAGACAATATAAAACTGAGAAAAATATTTGAGGGTTTTGCCAAAGATATACCACAGAAAAGCCCTCTCTTTCCCTCCCCATCAGCCTCCCTCCACCCAGGATTTGTGCCTTATGGGCCATCAAAGGAAGAAATATAAAACCCCTATTAAATCCACAGTGCATCCACCCTAATTATATATTTTCAGTTATTTTTACATTTTGCTGATGGGCTGTATCTGTGTGAGCAGCTTTGTGAGAACGTATGCAAAAGAGAACCTGTGTGTGTGGATGCTCAGAGCAGCTGTGCTGAGAAAGTCATTAATGATGTAGCAGTGGTTTGTGGGGGTGGGGGGGACAGCATCTCCCCAAAATGCAGCACCAGATCTCCCAGCAGCATATGCAGCCCTTTTATTTATAACTTAGCAAATGCAAACTGGGCTTTTGCAGAGTGGGTGCAGAGACATCAGATCTGCACAGTGAATATGCTGCCAGGAGTTTTGTCTGTGGTATTTTGTGGGGATCGTTTAATGGATGGTCCAACAATATTTCTATTTTCATGACAGTTTTGATGAATTGCTTTGGTTAAAAAAAAAAAGTCAAATGTTGTCTGGGAAGATGCTTGAGAAAGGAAAATATTTATTTCTTCAGCCATATATTGTGTATTAAAATGTTTTTGAAGGCACTAAAGATGAGAAGTGGTTTTTTTTTTTTAGTGAGAAACCTTTTAATCTACCCAGAGCATATAGAGATGGCTATGTGTGTATATATATTTATGTACATTCATTGCATTCCCTTTTTCTGAACACCAGGTAAACCCCAAGCCCTGCTCTTTGGTGCAGATGACCAACTGGAAAATCAGATCTATTTGGAGTTCAGGCCCGTGCTCATCATTGATGCTGACCAACAAACCATCAAGAAACAGAGTTTGCTGCCTGCTTCCTCGGCATGGCAGAAGCAAGCGGGCATTTGCTAACACCCAGCAGTCCCTGAACCATGAGATCAGAGCTGTGATGTGTTCCCTGCTGGAGCACAACTGGCAGGAGCCAGACCTCTGTGATGGATTTGCTCCTACTGCTGTTAATGGTGGGAGTGACCCCAGGGTATGGTGAAGCAGGAAGCCTCTGGGTGTATCATTTGGACTTCTGTGTTGAAAAGTGTCTTGCAGGTTCTCCATAAGCCAAAACCCCCTGCTGATGGATGGTTTTCAAGGCTGCCAAAACCACCCTGGAGGTAAAAAAGTGCTTAGTGCAGATGGTGCCTGTTCCATGTTATGGCAAGATGCAGCCCATGCAGCTTTCCTCTTGGCTTCTTTGGGAAGGAAATTCAGCTCCATGGTATCCCTGCTTGGCTTCCCAGCCTTAGCCTTTTCATTCCAAGGCGATCACACAGCTGGAAAACTAACATGGATTGCATTGCAAGCTCTGAATCCCAGCTCTGGAGTTTTTTGGGATCTCCAAAGTGAGGCTGCAGTACTCGCTGGTTTAGGGCAACTCATCGTTCCCATCCATCAGCATCATTATTGCCTTGACATTGAAATCTCTCCTGGGTGCCACGTCCTTCAGCCATGGCAGGTGAAGATGTGTGCACGGCAAGGCACACATTGTCAAGCACTGGCACCCAGGGAAGTGGTGAATCACCATCCTTGGAGGGATTTTAATGAAACTTGTATATATGGCACCTGGGGACATAGTTTTGTGGTGGGCTTGGCAGTGCCAAATTAATGGTTGGACCTTGATCTTGGAGGTCTTTTCTGACCCAAATGATTCTAGGATTCTCAGACCCTGTGGTGTGCGCCTTGTTTTTGCTTTGCTTTGTGATTCAGAAAGCAGCTCCTGTGATTTTCCTGTCCCACTGGAAAGAACTTGTGTTGCAGCAGCTGCTAATGAAGAAATAGTGGAAATAATTGGGTCAGCTCCTCAGCAGCTGAAACTGCTGCAAATTTGGTGTCACAACACTGGTCTGCACCAGTAGGATCCTCCTGAGCAGATGTAGAGATGCAGCATGTCCTGCAGACCAATTCTCTCTGGCAGCTTTCTGAGGGAAAACAGCACTGGTGCCCAGTTATTATTGATCTACTGATATGTAATTTTTCTGCTTAAAAAAGTTTTCATTGCATTAATTCCATGGGGAGGTTGAAGGCCCTTGCTGCATGCAACAAAATGAAACCTCCCTGATCAACTCCTTCTGCACCCTCTGCTTAACTGCAATCCTTATCACCCCTCTAAACACAGCCTGTTGTAGGATTTTGGGAAATTAAAGGAAGTGGAAAGCTTAGAGCAGCAAACCATCCACTTTAACAGTGGTTACTTGAAGTCCAGATCCTGTGGACTTATGGGGCTGAAGGTGAGGACCAACAAGGAAAGCTGCACCATGCCAGAGAAACACAACTGAGTGTTTCCATTTCCATTCCATGCTGTCACCAAGCAGCTCTCAGGGAATGTTTTTCACCCTGCTGACATGTTTAAGCATGAAATACTTTGATGCTTTTACCAGTTTTCCCTAACTATATGCAGATGAAGAAATCTATAGCTCTCCCAACTGATTGCAAATTCTGCCAGTTTAAAAATTCATGCAATTCATGCACACCTCTGTCATTGCAACCTACATTATGTCTTGCTTTCATTACATATTCTTTTACTTAATTGCCATGGAATATATTAATAGCCTCTATAAACTCCTACAGGAAAGCAAGCAATAGCTTAGTGCAGAGGTTTTGGGGGGAATCTCCTTTAATTTTCACATTAAGTCAGAATCCAGCATCTCTGACTTCACATCACCCCAACAGCTGCCTCCTGCCTGCTCCCTTGCAAAGTCTGGGAATGACCGGGTTAAGTCTTAGTTTAGCGAGGGTGACAGCTCTAATCTGAGCCTATACCAGCATTTTGCTGCTGTCTTCATTTATATATATACATTTACAGGTACATTATCATCTCCCCATTCAAACCAGCTGAGTTTAACCACGCTCCACAAAAGAATTCTTTCTCAGTGCAAAACTTGCTTCTCTGACTGGTTTGCAAAGGTGGGCACAACCTTTTACTGAAGACCAAGGTGGGTGCCCAATTCCATAATGAAAGCTGCTAGCAGTGAACTTGGTCTGGCCACTGCCTGTCCCTCTTCACTGTTTCCAGCCCCAGTGCTCCGTGGGCAATGCTGGGATGCAGCACAGGCTGCAAACTCATGATGTGGCACAGGATGGCTCGTGGTTAAAGGCTTTCCTCTGTTCTCCAGCACCAATATAAAGACATATAAACATCCATAGTGTGCAATGTGCTGCAGGAAGGGGACCCATTCCCCTCTGGGTCCATGTGTTACACTCTGGGTCCAGTGGTGCCTGAAATCCCAGCTCCTAATGGGAATTGCTACCTGCTAACACTGAGCTCTTCCATACCACCTTGTGAGGCTGGGCAACCACCTTGAGAGGCTGGGCGTGTGTTTTGAGTTGTCTCAGGTAAGTATTTGGCAGCCTGGCCCTTTGAGCACTAAGATTTGATGTCTGTTGGAGATGGCCTCGGCTGCCCCGCTGCCAGGACAGCCCTGTCCTTTGGGATTTCCAGCCTGTGAAAAGTCCTCAAATCCTGCACTTCACACTATATATTTATTCACATGGAGCTGTGAAATAAATTCCCCCTCAGTAGGCCTGCACGTTGCAGAAGTGTTTATTTCATCCTGACGTGGTGTCTCTGGGAGTTAAAGGAGTTTTATGAGGGGGACGCAGGCTGGGATAGCTCCTGTTCTCACCAGCAACCCCATTTGCCCATAATGGTGCTTCTGGGGTCATCTCTCCTGCCCTGTGCCTGGGGAGAGTTTAACTTTCTGAAGCAAGATTTTAGGACAGACCTTTCAAGATGCTAGCCTTCAGTGCTAAAGCTCTGCACTCTTTCCAAGCCCTGTGATGGCCATTGTCCCTGCCCCAGCAGCTCCTGGACCTCCACTGGAGATGCTCTGAAGCTGTAAATGAGAAATTAACTGCAATTACGGAGCATCACAGGGCATAAATACCCTCTAAATCCTCTTTAATTACATGGTAGCACTTAATTACATGGCAACAAGAATGTAAGCACAAAAATAAATATGATTTCAGTTTTATCTTCAGCAGAGGCACTGGTAATTAATTTTGGAGGGTAATGCAGGACCTGCATGATGTGAACTCCACTAACACAGTACTGCAAAGGTGCTGCTGCCCAGGACAGACAAACCTCCCTTCTCCCTCTCCAACAGCCACGACTTTGTCACGTCTTCCCATTCCCCACTCAGTGTCATCACTGTCTGCATGTTGATGCACAGGCAGAGACTTGCATGTCAGGATAGGGCAGGACTGGGTCAGTGTAGTATCCACTCATCCTCCTGCATGGAGAAAACCAGGCATGGTTCATTCATCCCACCTCAGTTCTGCTGTGAGCTCACATCCCATACCCAGCCATGGGGATTTGGATCACTCTCAGCCATGGGCACAGGGCTTTTTTCCCCATTTGCTCCCAGCATTCCACTCGGATGCTGGCAGCAAGTCCTCGTGCTCAACTGGCTGGTGCTTGGCTGTCATGTTGCATTACAGCCTGCAAATCAATCCAGACCTCCTTGGGGCTTAGCTGAAGCGGATGCAAACCCGGCTTGGGATGCTCCTTTGCCAAAATGCTGCCACCCATTACCCCCAGCACAGATGGAGCATATGCCTCGATGAGGACAAAGGGGTGTGCAGTGAAGCACAAAGTCACGTTGAACAACTTGGATGCATCTTGACCTCTGTCACCCCATATAACCACCCCAACCACATTTAAATGGAGAACACTGCTGCAGACCAGCAGAGGAAAATCCCTACTATTTCCCCAGGTTTTTTTAACCATAATTAGTGCATTGCAGCACATTCCCCTGGGAACTCGGTTTGCTTTCAGTAAAAGCAAACCCACCTGCTGAAGTCAAATAAGCACAGTTTTTAACTTGCTCTTCAGTTTGCCAAGTCATTTATACCCTTACCCAGAGTCAGGGGGATGGAAAAGGAATGTTCATCTGGTGCATTTTTGCATTAATTTTCCCTTCACATGCAATTTTACACCACAGAGAAGAAGAAGAGCTGATGTGATCACAGTTGAGTATGCTGTGACTTTCCCCCACCTGCTTTATAAGCCCCATACTGGAAAAAATTCCGATTTTCCTTTCTTTTTAATGTATTACTCAAACTAAACAGCACGTTACAGCTGATTTACATGCACATGCAATCTGGCAGGAACCAGCAGGGATCGTGCTGTTTGAACCTTCCAATAATTGATATTTTCTACTCACCTTCCCATTGTAATTCCCCTGGAATGTAAAGAGCAGCAGCAGATACTTGTGGAACAGATCTGAGCCTGGAAAAAGCTGCCACAGTGGAGCTGTCTGGAGGGTGGTTTTCCTTGGGAAAAGCTTGTTCAAGACCCCTTTGGCGACCTGCAGGATTTCCTTAGGAGGGGGACAACCTTTGGTCAGTGACCACAAGGAGCCTGCAAAGATTTTCTATCATGTCCCATTGAAGAGACAATCAAAGAGAGCATGAGCAAGCTGAAGCAGAGAAATGAATCATAGTCCTGCTGCAGAGACTTTGTTTGATAAATAATGTATATGGAGTTTACAGTAATAAACACTTTCTTCCCACCCAGGCAGCTGGCTAGGTTTGGATATATTCCTTCTCCCAGGCAGGGTGACAGACTCTGTTTTGTCAGGTAGGTTAATCTGGGGCTTTTCTCACCACTGGCCAGCCACATGTGAGGATATGGAGAGGAGGTGGCATTCCCAGACATGGCTTGAAGAAAGAAATATGCTGGGGGTGAACATTTGGGAGATGTCCTGAGGTTAATGCGTGCCATGAAGTCTGGCTGAGAGGAGGTGTATAGCCCTGGGTCTGCACATGGGTACCAGCTGCCCCAACACCAGGATGCTGCACCCTGAACTGCCCCCCAGCCCTGGTCCAGCCCAGTGCTGGAGAGGTGGCTTCCCCAACCCAGGACCAAGGCCCTCACCCCACCACTGAAATAATTTTTTTGTCTTCAAACATGCTTTCCAAAGAGCACCTGGCATCTCCCATAGGTCTCCTCAGGAAAGATAGGACCTTGGAGGTAACTAGGTAAATCACCTCTGGCTATCCCTGAGGAGTGCTGGAGCAAGGATTATCCTTTGTGGTCCCATGATGCTGGTATAACAACATGAGGTGAGGTGTTCCCATCACCTTCCCTGCCCAGTTTTCCTCCCCTTAGACCCTAACAGCCATCACAGTGGGACAATCCAAACTGCAGGCTGGCCCTTCTCCTTCCTCTTGTGACACCTCAAGACGTGGAGATGGGAAAATGGGGGCTGCAAGTTGGTCTCTTCAGGAAGCAAAAAAAGGGGAGAAATTTCCTCTTGCCCCTCTTGTTTTTAGGCTTCTGATGAATGGCAGGAGGGGATAGGGGAAGAGAGAGGACTGTGACCATTCCTGAACCTCAGAGATCCTGGTGACTCAAAGATTTCCTAACCTGCAAGAGCCTGTATGGCTTGAGGTAGCAAGAGGGGCTCACAGGTGTAGGACAGAGCTGATCTGGCCTTTTAGGATGGGGTAGTGTACAATAAATCATGTTGTGGGTGTGCAGTTGTAATCCCAGATTTCCTTAGGTTTTGTCTTCCAGCCAGCTGGGATGGCCCCCATGGACATGTTCGGATCTGGGGAGCTGGCTGGCACCTGCATGGAGCCTCTGGTGCCACTAGAAGAATATGAAACAGCTTTAATCAAGGCACACCAGAGAAAATACTCTCTAGTTATTTTTATAGCAGGCCTTGAAGTCTTCAACTGGAGTGATTTGGTTAAAAATAGATTTGTTTCTGTTGGACTTTGGCAGAAAACCTGGGCTACCATATTAATGAAGGTAAGTGGGAAAACCCATATCTCTCCCCATTTTACATCCCTGTGGAAGAACTGGAAATAGCCTCAGCACTTTTACTGCAGAGATAAAAAAGATCCTTGGGAGGGGAAAATAGCTGTAGTCAATGCGGGCTTGCACCGGCTAAAGATTGGAGTTAGGGTTTTACTGCCCTATAATAGGCAAGTTCCTCATCAAGGAGTGGATATAAATGCCTAACATAATTTCATGGAGCTGGTGTGGGACATAAGAGCTTGGAAGCCAGCCCACTGCTTTGCCATGTATTTTAAGCAAGAGCTTGGTTTTGCTCACTTTAGTTCCCCAACTAGTATTGTAAGTGTTGGGTACAGACTTAGTTCACAAGCAAACATTTAAAATCAATTTTTAAGGCTGTTTTAATGCTGAAGAACTCTGTGGAGATCTAAGACTTAGGATGAAGGACACCTCTTACATCCTGTGACAGACAGTGATTTAAGTCCTTTTATGAAAAAAAATTCAAAATACATCTTTGGATTGACTCCTCTGGTCCCCAGTGTCCCAGAGTTCTGGCTCAGCACTTTGCATTTCCTTTTTTATAAGACTTTTATAATTTCTAAGCCAAAATTAACCAGTCAGTTGAAACACACTTTCTTGCCTGCCTTTGCTGTCCTTCACTTCTGATCAAAGCAATAGATAAATAATGACAAATAACATGCTGTGGCCATTTGAGTAGGGCTTGCTGAACTGAGAAATGAGATCTCTTGGGCAGCAACTGCAGCAGTGGAAACAGCCAAAAATATTTGCAGTGTTTGAGCGCAGCAATTTAAAATTGAGGAATTACTGGCTGCATCCTGTTCCTACAGAGGGTGAAGGAGCAAATGCCCCTTGATGCCTGCTGGGAGTGGGACAGCCCTGTCAAATTAGGCAAACTCAACCTGCTAATTGAGGTGGACTTGGACTGCTCCTCACACAGACAGACCAAACAGGAGAGGGCTGGAAGGGATTTCATCCAGAGGGAGCTGGGCAAGCTCAAGGAGAGGGCTCATGGAAACCTTGTGAGGTTCAACAAGGTCAGGAGCAAGGCCTTGCATCTGGGTTGGGGCAACCCCTGCTATCAACACAAGCTGAGGAAGGAAGGGATAGAGGGCAACCCTGGGAAGTCCTTGGAAGTAATGGCAGATGAAAGGCTGGGCAGATGAAAGCTGACAGTGTGTTCACAGCCCAGAAAGCGACTCTCATCCTTAGTGGGCACAGAGGGTGAAGGAGGTGATGCTGCCCCTCTACTCAAGATCCCACCCCTGGAGTGGACATCTGGCCCAGGTGTCCTCAGCACAGGAAAGAGAACCTGTTGGAGCAGGTTCAGAGGAGGCCATGAAGAAGCTCTGAGGGCTGGAGCATCTCTGCTATGCAGACAGGTTGGGAGAGCTGGGGGTGTTCAGTCTGGAGAAAAGAAGGCTCCAGGGAGACCTCAGAGCCCCTTCCATTGCTTAAAGGGGCTTGAAGAGAGCTGGAGAGGGACTTGGGACAAGAAGCTGGAGTAACAGGATGAGGGGGATCGGCTTCAAAACTGCAAGAGCAGTTTCCTATGAAATATTGAAATAACAGCCTACAGAGCAGTACCATAAGCTGCTGGAAATTTACTTCTATGCTGCTGTCAGGGACTGAAATAGTTCATACCTTAAACCCTTATGTTATTAAACCTTAAACCATTATATGTTATTATTGCCCATTATAGCAAAAACTGTGTAGAGAAACTACAACCACAGAAGTCCACTTCTCCTTGAAGATGCCTGACTGGAGCCTTGGACTGTGAGTTAAAGTGCCTAGATAAGATAAAGGGGGGACTGGTTCAATCACCTCAGGTCTGGGGAGAAGTAACCAAGGCTGAGGGAAAAGAATGCATCCACAGGAAAGCCAGACACAGCAGAAAATCATCCCTGGCTGGGTCTGGGGTGGGGCAGACCACAGCCCACAGAGGCCAGGCTTGCACAGGCTGCCCCCAGCCGAGGTGGGGGCAGGAAGAGGTTTCAGGTGTGTGGTGTAACACAAACCAGCCCAGCTGTGGAACCCCAACCCCAGAAAGGGTTATCCCCACATCCAGGGGACATTCACGTGGGGGGGGGCAGCTGAGGGGGTGTCAGAATCCACCAAAGAACCCCCAAAGTGCTCCCCAGACTCATTCCCAAAGCCTTGCACCACAGGACTGCACGGGATGCAAAGCGATGCCACAGACCCAGAGCAGGAGACTGTGTCAAACTGCATCCCCCCAGGGAGGTCCCTGGGCATTCCCACCTGGCCTGAGATATCCCAACCCATCGGGTTCTGGGCTTTCTGGGGGACCCTCAGCACCAGAACACCAGCAGGAGAGGATCATTGGGACACCAGTGGGATCCATGGAGGGGTCACATTTTCTTTATTCTGTCTCTGCTACTCTCTTTCTGTCCCCCCACCCTTTCCTACTTTTTTCTTCCCCTCTCTCTCTCTCTCTCTTTCATATTTACTATCAAATAAAATCCGTACTATTGACTTTGGCATATGGTCTCATTTGCACCTTAATTCAGGCAGAGGCATTTCTAAGAACCTTAAAAATTGGACCATAACAGCTGCCAAGCTAATTTTCTAGATAGGTATTTTAGAACTCAAAGTTCTCTTACTTTGGTGGAACTTTCTATGTAGTACTTTTCTTTCTCAAAGTCAAAAATACTCTACTGAAATGCACATGAGAAAGGAAAAGAGACCACTCAGACACGGGCTTGGCTGGGAAGGTGACAGGGATGACTCCACTGCCCAAATTGTGGAAAAAAAATAATTTTACAATCTGGTCAGACATTTGTGTGGGTTCTCTTCCTCTCTTGGCTGGCCTTGACATGTCTAATGTAAGATTTAGCTGGTCTCTAGGAGATACAACCGAGCTGTGATGTCTCCGGTTCCTTGTCTTCTCTTAGAAGTGGAGTACGCAGAAAAAATGTTATTTCAATGCAAACCTTGGCTGGAAGATCAATACGAGTCTGACATGCTTTTTTTCCCCCTCATATTCAGCTTTGTAGGGTTTGGGAAGCACGTGGAGGAAACTTTATTTTCATGCAGCACATGGACATGACGAGTTCTGGGCTTTTATCACAAATTTCCTTCCCAACCGCTGGGGCCAAAACCCTGTGGCCAGGGGCAGGCAGCAAGCCAGGACTGCCTGCACTCATCTCAGACCTCTTCTGCCCAAATAGATGGACACCCTAAAGCTAGAGCATGGTTGGTGTTTAGCTTCAGTATCCTGGTGTGCCTCACAGAGGGTCTTTCACTTGTTAGTGCTCGTACCGTGCTGCAAGATGCTTCAACAGAAGATTTTCTGCTTGTAAATAATTTTAATAATTTTCATATATGATTTTTTTTTTCCTGGCAGAGAATTGAGTCTGCTAGACATAGGCCTGCCTTGGCTGCTGTGTAGAAAGTAAAGAAACACCAAACATTGCTAATAGTTATTTTGAAATTCCACCTTCTTCTCCCTATGCTTCTCCTTTCTAAAACTACTGAAGGTCTGGTAGGTGAGATGGGTGATTAGAGGGGTGGTGCCAGCCACTGCCAATTAGGCTGTGGATCAAATCCTTTAAGCCTGTGGATCAAAGCCTTTAGGCCTGTGTGCCTCCCCTAATGTCTGTGCTCATCTATGTCAGCTGAGGTAAGTCAAGAGTAGAGGATTGTGTTGCAGGAGGGATTGGTCCTGGACAGGTAGGGTAAGAAGGAGAGGAAAAGGTTTGTCGGGTTTTTGGGGGTTTTAGTGCTTTAAGAGGAACGTCTCAAATTTGGTGTGGTGCCCATGGGAAGTTGTCTTTCATATTTACTAGAGGACTTACTAGGAATGCCTCTGCCTCATTCCAGTGTGTGCATTAGCATGCCATTCATGTGCTGCCTTCCTGGGAGTCACAGAGGAGGAAATGCATCAATCTTCTGTGGCCTGGGTCTTGTGCTCTGCAGATCAGGTGTGCTTCTTCTGTTGATTTTCTGCTGTCTCATTTTCTACAATGCTGTGCTCTCTTCTGTATCTCACATTTATGTAAAATAGAAACATATATAGTCTCTATTTTTAGACATATGGTCAACCCTTGATCTATGCAAAGCCAGGGCCATTGAAGGACATAGCAGTTAATCATAAAGACAGCCACGTGTTTGGAGAAGACTCAAATATTGTCTTTAAATCTTCACGCCCTGAGAAAAAATGACATTTAAAAACCAGCAGTCTAAAGCTTCTCACAGCTGGCTGTCAAATATGGATGGGGAAAAGCAGGGAGGGAAAATCTTATCACATCATTTGTCTGCCCTCTCCACATTTCCCCATCAGTGGTTTTGAGGGGGCTTGGTTCATGCCAGGACTTCATGGTGTGCCCAGCTGATGCTGGCCCTGAGCTGCTTGTGCAGCTCTGAGTGTGCCAGTGCCTGTCACTGGCTTTTCTGTCCCTCCAGGGTGACCTGAGAGCCTTCCTATTTGCCCAAAAATGGGTGATTTGGAGCATACAGACTTTGACATGGTCTAAACAAAATTTAGAGGAACAGTTGGAGGTGGTTAAAATGCTTTCTGTTCAAAGTCAGGAGGCACAAGAGGCAACAGTACTGTCCCCATCTAGGGGTGCTGGGGACATGGAAACTTCTGCCCTGGGCACAGAAGGAAAACATAATCCAGATGTTCCAGGGCTTCTTCTGGGTGTATTTCCTGGATTATTGCCCTGGGAAGTGATGAGTGTGGCTGTAAAAGATGGAAGTTGAATCTTGCTGCATCTGGATAAAGAGAAGCTGCTGGACACTAAGACACAGAACTGCTTCCCCTGAGCTGCCATGGTCACTCTCCCTCAACTGATTAGAAACTCAACAAAACTCTGTTTATCCTTGCTGGAAATCATGTTTTGCATTTTTGCTATACTTAAACCACAGGATAATGTTCCTGTGCATGATTAAAATATGATAGAGCCCTCCTGAAGCACCTGCCTTTCAAAGGAGCTTAAGTAATATTTATATTTTTTGCCAAGCACTCCAGTGACCACTGAATTCTCATGAAGTTCTTGAGTATGTGTGACCTGAGGCTTTGGTGGTGTGAATCAGTTCTGAAAAAGCCTGGAAACTGAGTAATGGCCGAGATGCACAAAGGCTTTGGAGACATGGGAGAGATTATGGCTTGTTACCTATGAGTGTTTTATTGCTGGACCACAACCACAGGTGCACCCATGGTGGGCCCATCCATCCTGTAGCAAACATGCTTGTGGTCTCACCAGGCACTTCCTACCACAGGAAAATGCAAGTTTATGTTGAGATGAGTTTGAAAAGAAAAGGATGTGCTAGTTTAGGAAGCCCAAAATTTTAAAGTAAAAAGAGTTGGTGTCGATGGAATCCTTTCATCCAAGAGTTGTGGTGGCTCTGCTGGGTGCACACTGCTCTAGCTGTCTACTTCAGGTCTGTAATTATGCTCTTGTCAACACAGGATCTTCATAGAATCACAGAATAGTTTGGGCTGAAAGAAGCCTTAAAGCATATCTAATCTAACCCTCCTGCTGTGGGGAGGGACACCTTCCACTACACCAGGCTGCTCAGAGCCCTCTCCAACTTGGCCTTGGATGTTTCTAGGGATGGCACATCCACAGCTCCTCTGGGTGACTGTGCCAGTGCCTCACCACCCTAATTGAGAAAAAACCTTCTCTATATTTAGTCTATGATGGGTTGTTGTTTTTCTTTGGGGGGTAGGGAAATAGATGATGGAAACTTGCTTACATTTCATGCCAGCCTTCCTTGAAACATGAAAATTATTTTTTTTAAATTGTTGTGACAGCAGGAACTTAAATAAAATCTTAAACAGGCATAAAACCTTATCAGTTGGGAATGTCCCTTCCTGGGGCTGGGAGAAAATACACTGGCTTCTGGAAGGGACCATCATGTACTGCCAAATGCATGGAAAAATGGGGCCTGGGACCAGGGAGCAAATCTGTGAGCGCTGCTCCAGCCCCTGGCTTCAGGCTGCCTGCTGGAGTACGGTGTTGGTGGGCAAAGGCAGATGGAGGCATATCAAATCAGCTCACAAACTTGTATGGAGTTAAACTTTGTACAGTTTTGGTTGAGAAACAGCCCTGAGGGGGCTTGAGAAGCTTGAGTTTATTTTAAAGGAAATCTCTCAAGCCATGTTTCAGTAGAACTTGTTTTCTAAGTAATCTTAAACTAGGGGGAGGGAGGAGAAATTATTGCAAAGCCAAATTTTGGTGAGTCTTGGCTTCCTGTTGCCAAATCTGGCTGAAGTGCTGATGCTAACAAAGCAGAGCAACCTTTGTGGAGAGCCAGATGCTGCCTGTGAGCTGAGCTTGCCAGGGGAGAATAAATCTCACACCTACACCACTCCAGAGAGCGCGACCAAGCCTGCAAGAAGGCAGCACCAGCACAAAACCTGAGAGATGCAGGTGAGGATTTACAGCATGGTGATCACAGCCTTATGCACTGGAGCTTGGCTTGGCCTTCTGGATGTTTCCTTTGCTTCATTTTATTTTTCCTCCCTAAAGATGAGGGAGGGAGATGGCATCCCCTCTGCTGTGGGAGGCAGCTGCTGCTGCTGCACACCCAGCACACTCCAGAGCTGTAGTTCCAACCTCCTGGGCTTTGCCATCTCCTCTCCCCTTAATCCCAGTGTCTCCTGGGGAGCTCTGAGTACAGAGCTCAGTACAGAGCTGAGGCTAACAGTACTTTTTTCCCTTTCTAATTTTATTTTTAGACGCAGTCCTGAGGGTGCAATGTCAGGGCTGCTGGTGTTTGCCTGAAGGCTGACTCAGACTGAGCTGATGCCCAGGTGAAAGAGCTCATGTATCCACTTCAGGTGTTCATCTGCCATGGGAAATGATGTCCTGGGCTCATCAGTGGTGTTTGGAGAAGACAACCTCCTTCCCAGCTGTGCACACAGCACATCCTGGTGTTGACAGGTGCTCTGTGTATCTCTGCTTCTGCACCACCAGAGGAAAATCAGATTCCCTGATTTTCCCTGAAGACAGGGCTGGCCAAAGGCAGCATGGAGGCCTTGACTGCACCAAAAGCAGCTTTTGTGGTGTCTCCACCCAGCTCCCATGCAGCACCTGCACCCCTGGCAGCACTGCTTGGGGCTGCAGGCCAGTCAGGGTAATGGCTGGGAGGATGTGGAGATCTCTTTGCAGCAAGCACCTGTTCTATGTTTTAAAGTGAGCAGGCTGCCAAGGAGCATCACTGGGAGGGGTGTGCGTGTGTGTGTGAGTGACTGGGCTGGCTGCTCTGCTTTCCTCACACTGAGCAGCTCCGAGCCAGAGATGACAAACCCAAGAGCCAGGTGTCCCCCAAGATGTGCCACCACACTGCTCTTTATTAGGGACCCTGGGATGCTGCAGGAAATTTAAAGGCAGCCCCATCTCTGCAGGATGCCTCTCTTGTGTCAGAGAACCCCCTTCTTCTTCTTCCTCCTTCTCCTCCTAGGATTAAGTTAAAGGTGATGAGGATGAGATGGTTTTGCTCTCATTTTTGAAATGTTTACCTGTAAAGTTTTGCCCAGTTCTTTCTTACTGGCTATTTTATAAAGCAAGATGTATCTCTCACTACTTGTACACCAAAGCAATGGCCATGAAAACCCCCCTCTGTTTGTTTGTCTGGCAAACCCTGAACTGGAAACTGTACATTTGGGTTCAGCCCAAAGCTGGGTCCCAGCTCTTGACTGTGACATACTTGATTTTTATTCCAAACCAAATGACCAGGGATGCCAGGAGTGGAAAGTCCAACTCTCAAATCCTAACTTAAACTAAAAAGGAAGAAGAAACCATAACTTCAGGGAAATGTATATTGACTGATATTTCCTAGCCTTTTTTTACCCTTATAAACAATTGATCTTAATAGAACATGGTTTTCCTGCTGGTTCTTGTGGATCTTACTCTATGAAAGGGCAAGAATAATTCTCCCTGCCCTAAGAAAACCTGCACTAGATAGTTAAAACCACTATTAGAGCTGTGAAGTCCTGCAGATTTCAGGGTAATTCCATTAGCTGCACTGCTATTGCATGCTGTAGGATTTTCCCATAGGGTATGGATTCTCAGGGAGCTTTAACCATGTACACCAACACCCAGGCATCTTACAAAAGCCAAAATAACATCATTTCTTCTCCTGAATAATGGGGATTTCACCTCCCTTTCTATTTTCTACTCTATTTCAGAAGCACCCTGAGGTTAGGCCCAGCTGTTAATGCCTTCATACATTTGGGTTTTCTACTCTCCTGCCACAATTCGAGGTTGTCTAAGCCCTTGATGGCAGCAGGATGTGTCCCTGTGATGGAGGGGGAGGATGAGGGTGATGCCACAGCAGCAGGAGCTGGTCCCATTGCTGCAGACACCCCAGTGCCTCTGGGTGCCAGCACAGCACCTCACACACAAGCCTTGCATCCAGATTTGCATTCCTGGCTTATCACAGAGCCTGGAAGGGCTTTGGCAGATGCCTGGAGATTCTGAAGACACAAGACTGGGAACTTAGTGAGGAGCAGGTGGCAGAGAGCAACAGGAGAGTTCAGTTCTTACTCTGTGGGGCTTCCCTTAGCCAGGGAGAAAATTCCAGCTCTGGATCTCCCCCTGGCAGCCAGCACCAGGTCAGACTAATTTTTTTTCTCCCCAGCCTAGGCTTTTGTTCTTTGTCTCTGTCTTGCCATCCCTAAAGGATCCCTAAATCCCTTGGAGGGATTGTGCCACTCATGTGCAGACTGGTGGGAGCCCTCAACCCTGGGTGTTTCTCAGTGTGGATAATATTGCTGCAGCACTCACAGACTGGCTGAGCAGAGAGCAGTCTCCAAACAGCTTAAATTCTTTATTCTAGGGCTGTTGGACAAGCCATTGATCCTTTCTAGATGTGTCCTGGTGCCTTCCATGCACTACCATGGATTTTTCATCTTTTTTTTTTCTGTGCTCTAGATTTTTTCCAAGTTTTTCTCCTACATCAGGCAGGGTAAGCAGCTCTTTTCCAAAATAACCAGCAAATATCCTGATCTATTTAAATCTTTATACAAACTCCTGCTGATCTCCCTGGCCTTCTCTGTACTGGTGATAAGGGAGGTTTTTCTGGTACAAACCTCCCAAGTAACAGCATGTGAAAGCTGACTATTACAGTTTCTCTTCAAAGCTCCATTGCCTCCCGTGATTTCTATTACATGACAGTGCTCACAAAGTTTCCAACTTGTTATTTATCAGGGCTGGAGCCTCTGGTGATGACAAAAATGGGAGGTTTTTCTACAAACTTCCTCAGGCAGCCACAGCAGGTTAGTCATTAAGGGCTCTGTGCACAAGTTCATCCTGAAGTCGAGCAGAGCTTCACTTCCAATTTCCCCTCCTATCCTTCACCCTTGTTCTGTTTTCCCTTTGGGAGACCTGTTGTAGTGAATTTTTTTATTCCCCCCTGTATCTAGCAGAGTTTGATTTGGCAACTGTCCAGGAGAGAAAGGACTTGCAATTGCTTTGTCCTTTGGTGATTTAGGTTATTGCGACTTCATGGTTTGCTGTTGGGAAAGCGATTAAGAGAAAAAAGTCCCATCTGTGACTGAAAATGGACTTTTAGTGATAAAAAATGTCCCTGGGTTATCTCTGAGGCTGCTGCAATCTCCAGCATTCTTCTTTTTCCATTTTTTTTCTCACCCTTAATATTTTTTTCTGTTAAGTCTTCTATTTATTTCCCAGGTCCTTTACATTTGAAGGATATTTCTTCTCCCTTTCTGCTTGGACGTGTGCAGATGGTACTTTAGGCCAATTAAATGCAGTGTGCTGGAAACAGGGGCAGAATTCAAATGTTTTGAAGAGCTCTGGGTAAAATATGCTGAGAGGTGGCTGATGGAGACAGGTTGAGTTGGGAACCAGCAGAACCAGAGACACTTGATATTTATGGGGTGTCCTGTTGGTGAGGGAGGTCAGGATCACCTCAGTAGGAAAAACTAAACTGGTCTTGCTGACAGGCTGGCAAAGTGAGGTGTCACTTATCCACAGGAGAACAAAAGAAGTGCCAACAGGTGGCAGGAAAAAATGTGGTGGTGAGGTCAGAAAAGGGAGGAGAAACAAGGGCAGGGTGACATCTGTACATGTGGCTGTGCATTGGCAAAATAAAAAGGCTGATGTAGACAGTACCTTGCTCAGACCAGGGCTTAAATAGCATTACAGGGATTTGGTAGGATGAACAGAAGTTGCTGGGGAAGAGCAAGTAAGGAATGAAGGGAAGCAGCGTGCCAAGAACGGGGCGTGTTCGTCCTGTAGCAAGGGCTTGGGAACAGGCAGCTTCAGTGTGGGCAACTTAAAAGGGGTGAGGCTGGAGGGACAGACCTCGTGTGAGTTAAAGGAGGAGGTGGGTGGATGTGAGTGGCTCTTAAAACCCAGAGGACCTCCAGCTGGGTGGTAAATGGCATCTTAAACTCTGCGGTGAGTGATAGAGCAGGACAGAGCTGCTGGGATCCCCGGGTGTGTCAGTGCAACATCTCCTCTCTAGTGCTAACAGGACTACTGGAAAAGCTGCTATTTTGAGCTTGATTTGGGGTAATAGAGCAGAACTGGCTGAAAGGAGTGCAAGGCGATTTCAGGAAATAAGTCATGAAATGGTGGAGCCAAGAATGCCAAAAGAAAGGGAGTGAAAACAGCAGAATAAGGATAATGGGCTGCAAAAATCTCCGAGGATCAGGCAGCAACCCCTGGGAAGGTAACCCAGGGGCCTAAAGAGCACAGGGAAGTTGGCAATTACTTAAAATGACTGCGTTAGGGGCACCACAACCCATCCCAAGGAACAAGAGGAAGCTGATGCAGGGACTTGATGGACCTCAGACACAGAGAAGAGCTGCAGAAAAGCAGACCTGATGCCAGAGACCTGGCATCACATGGAGCAGTGGCTACACAGCTGCAAGTTGGGGATGCAAAGGGGCAGAACAAGCTCCAGTGGGCTGTCCAGAACCCTTCTGTAAATGCACAGGAAGGAGGAGAGCTGAGGAAAGTCCCCAGAGTGTCACTCAAATGAAGGGATTCATTGTGGACTTCGCTTCAGCCTTCCCTTGCACCCAGCTAATGATTAGGGTGATGAAAGGATGATTAAAAGGGGCAGGAGTCCAACTTGAACAGAGAGCAGAAGACCTGCCAGGGTGTTTAGAGCAGTCAGGTGTTCTGGTGTTAGCAGGACCTGCTGAATTCCCCCTTGGGTGTACTTCCAGAGCTAATCCAACCTTGGAAGTGTTCAGGGTTTTTCCAGTATTGCAGGGCAGGCTGGGAGCTGCACTGGAGCAGCTTCAGGAGTTAAAGGCTTCAAAGCAGAGCAATGCAAGAAGATGTTATTAAGCAATCAGTCTGTAAGAACCCAGAGGATAATGAGGTTAGAAAGTGATACCTGGCATGGCTTTGTCAAGGGCAAGTGAAGTGAAATGAATAAAATTTTCTCCTCTAACACGAGAACCAGGCTCGGGGATGGGATGGGACTTGGCTGGTGGAGTGTGGCAAGCAGCCTTGGGAGGGTGACCTGCTCTGCAGGGGTGGTTGGGACCTTGAGCTGAGCTTTAGGAGGAAGTGAAGAGCTGTGTCATCACACAGGATTTAAAACAACCATCTCAATGCCTGATGTCATCAGCTGCTTTCTGAATTGTCCCCCTGTGGCAGTCAGTGCCTATGCTGCTGCAAGGTGGTGTGCTCACTTTTGTATCCGGTTCTGCCCTTCCTAACTCTTGCCTGTGGTCATCAGCTAGTGCCCATCACCCTCAGCTCTGCTGCAGTGGCTCTTCATCCCTGTCTTTGTGGTGGGCTGCCCTTACTGGGGGCATGAGGACATCAGTAGCTTCTTCCCCCACATCCCATCCCTGTCTCCTCCGTTCAAGACTCTGAAGGGCAACCTGGCCCTTAAGCAAACATTACAGGACTTGCCCAGGTCATTTGTCACAGTGCTTTTTATTGTCTCCTCTGCTTTGTAGCTCATGCTGCAGCACAGCATCCCTCCTCCCCAGCATCTGCACCTCCACTTTGCATCTCCAGGGACAGCGGTCCTGTCGTGCTCATGGCATGCCTACATTTGTCTTAAGGATTGACCCTTCAGTTATTATTAGCCTCATGGTCAGCTCCAGCACAGCCTGTCATGATGAATCAGAAATAGAATCTTCTCTGCATCATAGTCCTCGTTAAACCGACCATCCCCTTCTACCTGCTGCAGTCATCGCCTCATTATAACTCCATTAACTTTAACAACAACCCCATTACCATCCATTATCTTTCTTATCATCTCC